CAATGAAAACCACTAAAAATATCTACTAGTGGTGAAATAAGGCGACGACTTTTCAAACAAGATAAGACGAAGCTTCTCAAGAGATGGAAACTGTTTCCTATTCACAGAGCTTCAGTATTCGATGCTTTACCATTTGGTGATCAGATTCAGTGGTATCTCCATCACTAATTTCTTAGTGAAGTACTGAATGTTATGCAAAAGCTCCGAGAACAGAAAATAGTATCCATCCTCACTTGTCTTTCGACGTTTGCATAATAATCACAATAGTTTTATTCTGCACAAAAAAGTTTACACGGTAAACAGACCGGCCACAACGCCAGCCAGCGTGGAAGAATCCTTCTCTATAATTTACCGGGTGCCTAATAAATTGCCAAAATCATCGAAACACTGCATGCTCTAAACAGCAGAGGCTATTGCAATTCGCCTCAAACAACCAGTGCTCTGTGTTCAAAAGAAGCAAGTCCAGCCCCTACTACTGCCCTGACCTTCAGTAGAAACTATAAACTCATGAATTTGTAATATTATCTTTCCTAATTTTTCTGACATTCAGCTTATTTTATGTTGATGCTATTGAGCTGTAATCTATCAGTATTATTGATTCGATGTTATTTAAACAACATTAATGTTGTTCATAACACTAATTCATTCATTCACTATAATGTGTATATAACTGTAGAGCCTGATGATGAAGTTATCGAAAAGAGTACTCTTTGTTCAGTATCCATTCTTTTGTAAACAGAATTCTTAGCGTACTTGGTTATTTAAAAGAAAATTATTGAGAGCTTGACGATTATATTAATCACCTTAGAGAATCTACCGTCAGTGAAATCATTTTCAAAGATTACAAATCTCTATCACCTTGTTACTTGACAAATTTCATAGCTTATCAACCTATGCAATAACTAAGGCTCATAACCAGATGGTCAGAAATCTGGGAAACACCTTTATTGAATTAGCAATCTATACTCACTACCTGATAATTTTTTTTAATTATAATCCATAATTTACTTAACACTCAATAAACTACACAGATACAAATGTAACTCAGGTGTGTATGTAAATATTACAATCGAAGCATTGATCAGGAAAATGAAAGTGCACTATCGATTTACTAGTCATTAAAAATTCACGCACTGACTTGTTTCGTATTTTCTCTTTATATTTTGAATAAATCACTTATACTCCTCAGATTAGCATAATCGTTACCAGTACTTGACAAAATCTAACTCTATATGGATATTTTATTCTCCTGACAAAGAAAAATATAGACACTATTTTCAGAATAATTATATGTAGGTGATTTTACTAGCTTCACAAGTGATATAATGAAACTTGTTTGTAAACAAAACCTGCTTTTGATTATTTCACTTAGTCGAAACAATGCCTCTATATCCAAATTTAAAAGAAACTTGTTACAGACTGGGAATCGTAGAGATAGTTGATTTGATTCCAGGTAATACTAGGCTTTTGAGGCAACAAACCAAACAAACACCCTGTCACCCAACAAATATGAGAAAGGGAGCGGAGAGATAATTGAGTGACATCACGTGTCAAGCAGGCCCTCAAGTGGAATCCTAAAATGAAACAATGATTCGGGCATTCGACGGTGACATGCAGGAGATCGTATGAGGAGGAAATTAAATCTTGTCGGCAGTCGTGAAGCCAGCTGAGAAAGAAATCAGAGAAGACAGCAAAATAGCGATGTTCTGCTGAAGCCCTGTGTTCCTATCGGAACCCACGGGAATAATAGTAATATGTAATGTAATCACCAGTTTCTCAAGGTAGATGACAAATCTCTTGAAATGAATCAATTTTGGTAGATGCTGAACTCAGCAGCGAAGATCTTTCTAGAGTTTAAATTATGTCAATTAGGCTGATGAGCACTATCTGTTGGTTTGACTAGTTTCCGAACAACTCTTGTCAACCAGTAACATATATTGTGCAGTAATCATCATCTCTTCGTTTTATACCACTCGTGATATGGAACAAGAAACAGTTTGTCATTCAACTTAAACTACAGTGGAACGAAGTTCACCACGGATTGAGAATCTGGCTTTAATTCTACCTCATATTTTCTTCGAAATTTGTAATATTAAAACAGCCAATTTACATTTATACATTATGATCGATGATTGAGTAGTGGGTAAATAAGTTAAAAGGAATGACTGTTGCACAAAGTCAGAAAATTATATATATATACATATATATATATATATATATATATGTATTAGATGGTTGGAGGCAATCGGTAGGAAGCCTTCGACCTAGGTTTCGTGCTAGTTGGCACTCATCAGCAAGGCGTATCTGCAACCTTGAAGGAACTCATGTCCCTTCTGAGATTCGAACCCACGTCACCCAGTGCTGCAGTCAGAGACTTACCACTGAGCTATTCAGGCTCGCGACTGACCTCCTGTAGGACTGTATTGGATATTTTCGATTGCACACTAGTCAGTGGTAACGTCTCTGACTGCAGAACTGGGTGACGCGGGTTCGAATCTCAGAAGGGACATCAGTTCCTTCAAGGTTGCAGATACGCCTTGCTGATGAGTGCCAACTAGCACGAAACCTAGGTCGAAGGCTTCCTACCGATTGCCTCCAACCACCTAATACCAACAATTCACAGTGCACCGTAATGGTGAGCCGCCTAGCATGGTGGACACATTGCAAACATGACTGATAGAATTCAGTCTGCACCGAAGATAGGACTAGACACATTACACTAGTTACTGACTAGTGTGCAATCAAATATATATATATATATATATATATATGTATATATATTATTAACAAATTACCTACAAACGGTCTTCAAAAAGAATGGTTATCCACAAAATTTCATCAAAAAGTGTTCAAAGTTGAATCAAAACACCAGCAAGAAACCATCATCAAAGACCACAAGAAAATTCATCCTACCATACATGAGAAATATCTCTGAAATAACAGCTAGAATACTGAAACCGTTTGATATAGATATATAACACAAGCCAGTCAAATCGCTTAATTCGATATAATGCAAACCGAAAGATCCAACAGAAAAAGTAGATAAAATTGATACCATGTACAAAATAAATTGTATGAACTGTAACAGGCATTACATCGGCCAAAGTGGGCGTCCCCTTCGAATTAGAATCCAAGAACACAAATCAGCCGTGAAAAGACACGATATGTATTCTTTAGTATCAATGCATATAGACAATTATGGACATCAATTTGATTGGGACAATGTCGAAATCTTAGACAGAGGAAACACCAAAACTGCCAGGGAATTCCTAGAAGCTTGGTACTCAAACGAAAATGCAATTAACAAACACGTAGACGAAATATACCAACTAATAAAAAGTAAATCATGTGACGAGAAAGTTTAAAATCGAAGTCAACAAAAAATGATCAAAACATATGTAAAGATGGTTACCGGGAGACGCAATTATATCAATCATGAAGAAATTTAAATCATTTCACTTTATGCTAAATATTGCGCTGAAGATGTTGTCCAGAAGGACGACCAAAGCTCCGCAACCAAACCAACCAGCTCAGAGAACACTTTTAATTGCAAGTGGATCAGGTATTTAAAACAAATACCGGCGTACAATACACAAATCATTTTTAAAAGGTATCCCATTAATTCATCAAAATTCTTGTCTTTGTCATCTGCTATGTATTTGGAAGAAAATTAGTCAGTAGTCTTAACGAACAAAAATTCACCTATTTAAATGTCAGTTGTTTGTTTTACTTTTTTTACCACCAACCGACATCATTTAGAGAACCACTAGAAACTAAAGAGCACTGGACAACTGCTCCTTCTTTTTTTCACGAATAATTCACATTGTACATTTACAAGATCTTAGACCAACTTCAGACATAATTCTACGCAGCACGCGATATTCACTAGACAGTCTAACTTTGTCTGTTCGATATTGTTATATAACTCACATACTAATGATCAAAGGTCGTCTATTCACCTAAACATTTGGAATAATAATTATCATGATACAATTTATACCTTTATCAAAAATGTAAATTAAGAGATCGAAGTTGTTAGTAAAACTGCTAATCAACAGGTATTTTTCATACACTTATTTCAATTTGAGAATTACTGAAACTCAGATATAAAGAACTGAACGATTGTTTCCTTCTAGTTTAGTATTCCTTAAAAATTGAACACCCCACCCCCACCACATCATTCAACATTGATACCAAGAAGGCAAATCTAGGAATGATCAAATTGGCTCATAAATTCTAACTTCTACCAATTCGTGATGCATTTAGCGCGACCACCAACCAGTGTCATCGACAGGAAATCCATCCTCACTCCCCAGTGGATGGACCTCACTGGTCACGGCTTCTCTCCTGGAAGCTCCATCCTGTAGCAAGTCACTAACGAGCATCACATTAATAATCAAGAATTGATTTGTTTTTCGAGTTTGACTACAGGTTGATATCAGTTAGAGAAGCATTTAAAACCAGGAAGTACTAGAAAATCCTTACAAATCAACTCCTGAAAATTAATGTGATGCTCGCTATTGACTTGCTACAGGACGGGGTTTTCTGGAGTTCTAGTGAGAAGTCGTGACCAGTGAGGTCCATCCAGTCAGGAGTGAGGATGGATTTCCAGCCAATGACATTGGTTGGTGGTCGCGCTAAATCACGAATCGGTAGAAGTTAGAATTCATGGGTCATTGCATCGGGTCCCAGTGGCTGAATGGTATACGAGCTTGCTTTGTAACCGGAAGGTCCTGGGTTCGAACCAAAGAGGGTGCATACTGTCAATGAGTCCCAAACTAGGACAAAACAGCTTTCTAGTATTCCCTGGTTCTCAATGATCAAATTGTCATTTACTGACCAATTCCAAATCTTAAAATTTGTGGGATTTACAGGTTTTAATGGGATTACCAAGTTGGTAAGAACGGTATGACTAAAATTCATGCAAGGGAATAAACACTGTAGAACATATGTAAAATATTGACAACAATTTTTTAATGAGTGAAAAGTTGTCTTCTTACCTTGCCCGACGGTTGAATAATTCTGTAGATTTTCTAAAGACAAAACTGAATTCATCCGATTGACCATAGGCTAAAACAATATCTTTCTGTCTTTGCATAACACGCTCTGCTGCACGAACTGATAACAGCAGACCACGTGAATCATTTGGTTTAATGAAATTATGCTTCGTTGTAAACTTATGAAATCCTTGTCCATCTAAACGTACAACAATCCAGGTTGATGGAAGACACTGATCCATTAATTCAAAATTTCGAACATATTCATAAATACTTTTTGCCATTTTGTGACAAGGATACAATGAAATTAAACTGAAAACAAACAGCAAAAAAAATCAAAATAAGAAGACTTTTAGAAGAAAAAAAAGTTTTACACAAGATGACTTACCGTATATGTCTGTCTCCTTCACCTTAAGATCTAATCACTTTTTTAAAACATTTTTATCACATTGAATCGATCGGTCTTATTCTATCTCAATCGATCTGATCGTACCTAAAATAGTGGACTACCACTACACGATATTGATTAGTGTTTAAAAAGATATGCGGGAATTGTAACTCATCGGATTTAAACAGAGATAATCTTAGGACTAAAAATCGAATGAAGCTAGTGTCCTATACTGTGTTTATCATTCATGTATTTTGAAGAGAAACAAACGAAAAGTCACTGATGAAGAATTTAGGACTTGATTTTATTAGGTGTCAATACCAGTCGCGACAATTCACATCCAGCCACTAAGTTGAAAATTAACAAATGGAGAGACAAACAACTACAAATATTTTCAAGTATTCGCCTTGTAACCAGAAGGTCATGGGTTCGAATCCCGGTGGGCGCGTATTGCTGAAGAGTCCCAAACTAGGACGAAACAGCTGTCCAGTACTCCCAGGTTTTCCAGTGGTTCTCTAACTGATGTCAGCTCATGATGAAATCCTCCATGCAATTAAACTACAAATATAATAATCAGTTGTTGTAGAAAACCCTATTACCAAACAAAAACATAAAGGAAACTAAAATATAGAACAGTTACAACTAACGTGATAATTAAAAACATGGATCCATGTGCTAATATAACCTAACTGAATTACAAAAGTAAGCCAGGATCTTCAGCTATTGATTTCAATTGTTTCATGTACATCATCACGAAGACAGGCTTCCCCAGGGTCACACAGGCAGTTTAGTAAAAATTAAATGTTAAAGAAAATAACTAGAATTTTAAATTACATGTTAAAAAGTCGTGTACTGCCAAGTGCGTATTATACCATGATTGATCTTTTCAAAATACACATTCTTATAAAATTAGGATTATTTCTATTACAGGCCGTAATTTCAAATTTATCTAAAATAGAAATCATTTGAATATAGGAGTGTCATCAAAGTATATCACAAAAAGATTTTTTACTTTGAAATGTTCTGAAGCTTTTTGCAGATCATATGATCTAAATTGATAAAAAGAAGTGAAGTGTTTACATGTTGCAATCTTTGATGTAAATTTTACATTAAGCCCATGACACCTTAGCGCATACAAGTCAGGCAAATTCAATATTTTTTAGACAGGGGGTAGAGTGGAGGGGTACTCTCTGAAAAAGCAAATTCTCGGTGTAGCGTTAAAATTACTCCAATCAGACTACTGAAATTTGTAGGCTGGTGCCAATGACTCCCAAATACTTTTGTTTCGATAGAACACTTCAGTTTTAAGATAAACAGAAAGCAAATGATACCTATTTAAATAACAAAGTAAATGGAGCGACTTCCGAGGTTATTTAGCTAGGAATGAATGATGGTTCAAAATATTGATTTTCCTTGATGTATCATGTAAACATAATGATATGAGAAAAAGAGAAAGGTCACTTTATGTACATTGGTGAGCAGAGAGTAACCACTTCAATTGTTGACTGAAGTCTATCGATCAGATCTTAAAAGTTATCACTAGGGTAAGTTAGACGACACGCCACACACTCAATTTGAGTTATATTAAGAGGCCACTCTGATGAATTTAAATCATGTCACGGACAAGGTAAAATTTAAGCACCAGTAAGTACCGAAGGTTTACAACCATACCAATGACCTTGGAACGCTCAGTGAGCAAGTTAGTGAAACCTGGCAAATAATGTTGTAATTAAGAATAGAATATGCTTAATTACGTGTTATGCTACTAAATGGGATATCCAGCAAGTTTCAGCTTAGGTTTGGGAAAGTTTAGGCTAACAATTGATTAGGTTAACCTAATAAGGGCGATATAAGGATTGGTTCGAGTTGGATTAGGGTTAGTTTAGTGATATTTCCACGTTAGGGTTGGGCTAAGGAAAGATTATGGTTACAAGACCTGGATAAGTACATGTATAGAATGTGATTAAATTACCCTGTTGGTACTCCAATCTAACAGTGAGAGGTATATTTGTCACACATCAGAGAAAGGCACCCTGCATGCCTTTTGATTCATTATTTTCATGAATATATGTATTTTGTACGCAAAAATCGCCTTCATCATGTAGTTGGTGAGCTCAAGGTCATTTGTCCGTTGGTACTTACTGGTGCTTAAAGTTTATCCTCGCCAATGTCACACCATACAATAAACAAACTAGTCGGAATTGATAAGCCGATTAATGTTATCACTTCAGTTATACACGAAAAAGCTGTGTACAAACGAGGTGATAATCAACTTACGTCCGTCAACAAGATTGTTAAATATGACATTTACACAGCATACTAGCTAATCTAATCAAAGTGGTTTGAACAGAAGACAGTTATTCCAGTCGTTCGAGATCAAAATCGTATACAGTGTGCTTGGAATTATGCAACGCTCACAGACCCGCATAATTCAAACCATCTAAATTTCTGACTACTTAAATAATTAATCAATAACTACTACACCCGTATGAATGATTATTGATTTGATTGCCTAAGTCTGTCTCCTTTTTAAGCACCTCACCCATATAAGACATTAAATCCGAATCAACGTTTCATTCTTAATCCATAAATGCGTATGAGCGAAATAGCCAGTATAGACAGCAAATAATGGAGAACAGGCATTCATTTAGAAGTGTATAATGAATTATTCCATTACTAAGCTTACTAAGACGACTATGCGAAAAAAGAAAACAATTACTATGAAAATAATTTTAGAGGTGATGGAGGACGGTAACTGCTTATTATCAGTGTTGAGACATTTTAGAATAATCAAGACACATATCAAGCCAGTGGAATGTGTACATAGTGATGTGTTTCCAGAGAACATATGTCGTTACTGACAATAAACGCATGGAGACTGTATTTATTCCTGAAACTACTTTTTTTAATCTACTGAAGATGATGGAAATAGCTCACTTTACAGCATACACCTCATAAATATCTGTACATTCAGACACGGATTGTTTAAATCACTGGGCTACCGGAATTTCCATCCATCAAAATGGTTAAACTTTTCTGCATTTCTTATTATTTAAATCATGGATTATATCACTACAAGGGCTGATGCGCATATTTAATAAGCTTCCAACAATTCGCCGTGCAATTCTTGAAGGGAATGAAAATATGTACAGAGATGGTTCTCTCTTCATATGCAACAACTCTACATCACACGATATACATCAGACTGCTACTCTACATGTAAATCCTGTGTGCAGAGAAAATATTTTGAAAATGAATACGCTTAAAATTTCTGTACTACGTGTTCACATATTCTCTGAAATAAAGCTTTATTATTACAATTATTTAAAAATACTTTAGTTTTCTGCATGTTCGAAATGCTAATGAATTAACTACTCCGGTGATGTTCTGAGTTACCGTCACACCATTGCGTTGATATAATGATAATGGAAACTCTCAACTCTTTTCTTAGACTTTAATTGAAAAGTATCCATGGTCCAGATGTTCTTTTACCGGTATTTTAACAGTCCAAGGCTAAATTTTCTCATATCTCCTAAACACATTTCCCCTGTTACTCAACCAAACCTTAGAAAATATGTTTAACATCGTAATATAATACTTTCAACCTTGTTGACATTTTCCCTATCTAAAAATATGAAAAAACTTCATAAAAGAGAACGTCGTTAATTAAATGACACAGGAACGTCTTGATTTTGTAGACTGAAGGATGATTGAGATTACGAAAATTGTAGGATACAATCAACCTGAATAAAAATTATAGCTAAGAACTAGAAGGAAATATGTTAAGATATAAAGTAGGATGATAACATAGTTTCTGTCCACCGAGATAAAGACTAAATACCTCGAAGTCTCAACACTCTCTTAACATGGGATGCAAAACGCACAATAAGCACAAGAACTGTCAATTAGTAGTGTTTAAATATATGTTCACCCTTAAGTGTCTTTGCTCCAGCTTTATGACTATTCGAAATAGCACACGGTAGTCAGTAACTAAGCATTTGTCTCTCAATAAGCTTGTTTTACAATCTATTACAGCGACGATTTGTACAATTAGTCTGCAAAAACAAACTGTTATCTCTATGGTGTTAAATGTAACCAAAGATGATAAGTGTTAACCAGGACATAACACTTAACTTTCACCGGAAGTCTAATATACTACACCTTTAGATCTTGAGGTAACTGCATTACTTTGCAATCGTGCTTTAATTCAGGAATTCACAACTCAGTTCCACTTAATTTACTATTTACCTTCACCATTATTTAGTGAAATGAAAATTTCACTTGAAATTAAAAGATAGTTGAAAACAACAAATAGTTTTCCAAACTGAGCAGGCCTTGTAAATGTGAGAAAAGCACATCCCAATTGTTGTGTTAACGATTCAATGAGTATCGCCAAGCTATGGCAAAACAACCAAATAGTTACCATGACTACAAACTTATTACAACATGGAGGTCATATATATATATATATATATATATATATATATATATATATATAAGATGGTATTGTTTGCAATAAAGCGGTTGACTAAGTTATTGCACTGACAAAGTATGTATAATAGAAATGTCACCTGGAAGACATTGTTTCGCTTATAAATTTACATTTATCAGAATAATAGCACGAAAAAGAGAACGAATAAGAACTCTAACTAGATCAACATTTCCAGTCGCAAAATGTTTTGTAATGAACACAGAATAATAGAAAAATATTATAAAATTGATACATAAAAAAGTGAAGTAGTTTTCTCTAAATATCACCGCCAAGATTGTGCTAGAAATAAGTCACATCCTATTAGGCAAAAATCGAAAATCACATTACATTAAAATATAGAAGAGAAAAATATCAACAAATCTTGCTTATAGCTTATTATCTAAGAAGTACTCTCTTTCTAATGTAACAGGCGGTAATACTAACCTGAAGTAACGATGTCGTTAAATTTGAAAATCCACTGGAAAGTTTCTTCAACCAAGTTGAGAATATTTTTAGCAATATGTACAACTAACGGATAACTGAGTTAAAAGTTAGCTCTTGTGCTACTGGATAAAACCCACTAACTTGTGGCATCTACCATACCCAGTTCATACTTTGGTTGATACCGGCAACACGTATGTTATTTTACCACGATGCACTTGACATACACTGTTACGAAACCAGTGAGTTTTGCCAGGCGTTCATTTTACATTTTTTACTTTACAAACTATAACAGACTTATTTCGATTTTGCTTTTATTAGCAAGTTACATGAAGATTCACCACAGTTTTCTTCAGAAACCCATAATATACTAATCACAATACATGGTCTGCTTGATACCATAAATAGGAAGTTAAATTTGTAAACAAAACAGCCTAATGGTAGATGCTATTGATCAACACGTAAAGAGCGTGACACATTCCACAACTTAAAAATCATTTAGGAAACTCAGTCTACAGAACTTTACGTGTCATTATTTATATCAGATATCAACAAGGATTAGTAAGTGTTAACTGCAGCTAACCATTTAGAGCTTCCAATTCATTCTGTTATCCACCACCCACTTTTCGAAACACTGTTCCGAATGGTGCTACGTTCAACTACTTCAATAGAAAATGTACTACTAAATTTTAAGGATACCTGTGATTATATGGCTTTTATCAGTCGACGACGCTAACAACCTAGGAAATAAGTAGTCCCTTGGAAATGAGTTAAATAGAACCAAAAAAAGACTAAATATTGGCATAACTCTTCTTTTATTCATTAAGTGCAAACAAATAAAAAAGGTGCACTACCCATCCTCCGCATAGTTTATTTCATTTAACTCGGGGTCTTAGTCTCCGAAGACTCAGCCATCTATATACTTTTTACATTTTGGATTGCTAAATGACTTATATCCCCTACCTAGAATTCTACACCAATATATAATATAGCTAACTTTGCGATATTATTTGGAAGATAGACCATTTTGAACTTATCTTTGGTAAGACTACTAGCTTCCTGATTCAATATTTATGTTCTACAGTAGTAAACAAAAAGAGACTAAAACCGATTGCTGTTCGTAGTCACATAACCTACAACATGACTTATAAAGGCAAATAAGTAATGGGTTTTATACAACTCCTAGAATAAATTTAGTAATCACATAGGAAAGAAGAATAGTCTAACAAAATTATCTATTATGAACAACTATGGCTGAATTTTGACGCTTAATTACAACCACGATTCCTCGGAAAGCGTCCAACTGTCTAGTAAAACTCTCCATAACATATTTTATGAATCTTACATTCGACCACTTATGCCAAGCAAACAGACTTAAAAAAATACTATAATAAATATATTGAAATGACAGAGAAAAACAACAACATTTCAAACGGCATTCTTTAGTATGAAGAAAAGTATTTTGAGAGGATATTTATTTAAGCAAAAGTAATGGTGAATAATGCAGTATAATGACATAGTCAAGAAAGCCTCAGTGCTTATGAATAACTAACAGGAGCAACACAAGAAAATGAAGTACGAAAAAAAAAACTTATCAAAATAATACCCACAAAAGGAAAATAAGCTAGCTCAGTTAACGTGTTTTTTGTGAAAATGACAGATGACGGAATAAAGCAGAACAACAACAAAAATTTATGTCGAAGGAAAAAAAACGTGCAAAAGACTTGCATGTAACAGTGTGTTTATGAGCAGGTGATAATTACCGTAACAATAACAGAATAATATCCTTATTATCACAACTATTTAAAGAGTTAGTAGAGTGAAATACACTTTACTGAGATTAAGCATCGATCGGGGCTTTCTCGTAGGACTTCTCAGTTTTCATTCCATCATCATACAATGGAACCTTCACATTTACTGCTTCAATATACGTCGGCAAACGGGTATACTGAAAAATGAAAAGCAATAAAAACACTGTACACTAGTGGTGCATATGTGCGTAACTTTCTGTAAACCAGAAACATGTTTTCTAGAATTAAAAAAAATGTACTAGGAAATTTATTCTCACGGAGAAAAGTTAGTAATGCAAATCTAAACACTTTCTCAAAGCGAGGTATTGGTTCAGTGATTACTAAACGTTTTTCTTACCTGTACCTCGTACTAATATTTGTTCATTATATTTCACACTATTATGATGGTCGCTCAAAAATACACCGTAGATACAATGTAGCAGCAAGCCAACCATTTTGATAGGCTACGACAAGTGAAAATGTGGTTTATTGGATTTGGATTTCAACAGACGGGTCACAGGTTCGAGTCCTATTTCATCTACTTCAGTCTGAGTAATAGAATGGTATCACAAGCCGTCACATAATGGTAGTCTGGTACGTGAAAAATCTATTGCACGCGGCCGAGACCAAACTGAACTTATAGAAATACGACAGCATTTCTAAAATCATTCTTAATTGAAACTACATTAAGCCTATTTCAATTGCATGCGAGAAGGTAGGGATATCACATTGCCTAACGACCCGTCTAAGTCTCAAAAGTTGTGCTTTTTTACTTACATCTTTATTATGAGTTCTCAAGATCTGAATAATTTTACACTTAAGACATACATTTAGGTACACATACTTTCAATATGCATAAATAACGAGACATAATCCCTCAAGTGATTATTGCTTTATTGCAGATAGACGTAGTGCTTAAATTGGAATCACTTTCTTCTCCCATTTATCAGAATAAGGATTATCCATATTACCAAAAGTATCGAAGGGCAATTTCTTTGCTCAACATGATTCAGACTTTTACAATTAACAGTGAAATTAAAGTAAAAATATTGTTGACATACGACTATTCCTTTTATGCATTTTGAAAACTTACCTCTATGTGCCGATGTTCGCGCAAACGACAAGCGTGAATAGTCAGCTTAACCATCAATAAGAGTATAACGAGCAACAGTGCAATAAGTAGAGGCAACAAAAGTGGTCGGAACATAATATGCCTGAAGAAGTAAGTAACCCTTGCCGCAGTTGTGGGCTGTCCTTCTTGATAGCTTGATTCATCCTCATTGTGGATAGCACGGAAACGGATAATATTCTTTTCATCTCTTCTTGGGTTTTTATAGTAGGCATCATTATTTTGTGGAATTATGTCTTGTAAATTGAAGAATGGCTTCATATTGAATGGTGATTCAAATGGATTTTCTTGTGTATCAACTAAAAAAAGAGAGAAACATGACACATTCTTATTAAAAACAATCATAACCAATGGTTTTATAAACCACTATTCAACAAGAAATTACGAACCGATTACTTCCATAGAAAGAAAGTATGACAATGTACAGAAAATTTGTACTTCATTCGCTTTTTGCTTACATAGTGCACTGTAAACTATGAGGCAACCTGAATGAATAGCGTCTGTTGGTTACTTGGAAGAAATCCTCAGCGTTGATTAAATTTTGTAGATCATGTTTACAATGTAGACACATAGTTGGACGGCTAAAAATAGTCGTCTACTTTAGATGTTTGTGAATAATTGGAGTGCATAAAAAAACAAGAAACCTCACCTGAGCTTACGTTTATAAACAGATTATCCAATACCATAAATAAGTACTACAATTGATCTGTCTAAGTGAGTGTATGTCCACTGAAATATACAACCACTATTTATTTATTCAAAGCACAAACTTGGTACAGTATGGGTGCCAAGACATGTGCTACACAACAATAAAAAAATATATACAGAAAATACAAAGGGAATGAATGAGGGACGTTATCCATAAGGCAATCACGCACGCTTGTAAAGATCACTCGAAATTTACTTCCTCATGGTACTTTCAGAAAGGAAAGAAAGAGAGAAGTTGCGGGGTGTTCTTCATTGATTGCGATTCTTTGCCGTATCTGATAACATTTCCAGCCACCGATACGAACTATCTTTCGTACCCCAATCAGGAAGTCGTGATGCTAACCTAACAAAAATATCCTTCATCCCACGGCACCACATTACAGGCTGACCACCTATCTACTTTTTCCATCCAGTCTCAAGATTAGCGGATGGAGACCGGTACGACAGCTTCTGGGATGACATTAGTAGCTCATTTCTAAGCCGCCTAAGTCAATGTTGCCAGATGATGAAACTCAATGAATGATTTCTACCGAATCTAAAAGCACACTGCCACGTTTCAGAACTACTCACACGATGACGCCATCGAACACAAGCAATTCTACGAAGACAAAAGTTAACCAACACAGTCGCCGTACATCCTCAGCTCAGAAAAGCCAGGTTTCATAGGCGTAGAGCAAGACTGTGTGCACCAAAGCATTGTAAATACAACCTTTGACAGACAGGCTGACGTCGCAATGCCGCCGGAGGCGGCCAAAATTGACGTGTGCCATCCTAGCTTCCTATATACGGTTGGAGACCTCGGCCGTCATACAACCAGCATTCATACAACTACCCAGATACACGAACTTATCGACAACTTCAAGCGGTTCACCTGCCAGAGTGAAAGGAGGTACTGGCTCCTGCCAATCTTGTAACTGTACTTTGCACTTAGACGGCGTAAAGCACCATACCTACAGACACTGATTACCAACTGATTCACTGCGATTTGGGCGGTCTACATGCTATTGCACAGTGAGACAACATCAATACTCAAAATTGCAATAGGAAATGACTAAAATCTGGTTTATATTTACTTGAAGTCGATATTTAGAAGAGAGGAAATATCTTGATACAATAAAACGTTGATTCACCTCAAAATGACACTGCAAGACAAAATTGAACGGAAGAAAAGCTAGTAATGATAGCAGGCAATGGACAATAAGATGCCAGGAAACAATAAAATGTTGGAATATTAGAATGTAGTATACAATTCATACTTTTTATAAATTGGCAGACTTCAGTCTATTCATCGCTTTACTATTTATACCGAGTTTATTCTTGTTATTTGTTGTCGTCGTCAATTCGCCCGCTGTGTTCCAAGATAAAGCATAAAAGCGTAAAACAGTTGGTGAGGCATTCGACAACGCGAACTGACTCACCCTTAATATCCAAATTACGAATGAGTTCAGGTGAGTCATTGAGACCTTGTTAATATTCAGTAACTGAAAAGCTACAAGCGTTCTCACTGCTTCGTAAAGTCTTTCAGGATGGCTTTTTGCCTAACAGAATAATTTCGACTGGATGATTCGCACTTTAAAAAAGGGAGATAGAATAAGGTTGGTTGCAGAAGAACTGCTACTTCAATGTGCATTGTTTTGTGTGAACATACTTCTCGCATAAAAAGTTACCGATTATTCGAAAAAAAAAGAGCAATTTCATAAAGAAGCACTGCTTTTAAAGATAGGATTATGTGCATGACAACACTACACTAGAAACTATACGAGGACGAAAGCACTAAGTAATACGAATCCAATAAGCAAAAGTCAAAACATACTTGGAACAATGTTATGGAATATGCGAACGCGTGATATTATGACTCGGTTGCCGGAATCAGGGTCAGTAGCGCTGTCAACGCTATCAGTTTTAGTCTCCACACTAGTACCAGGACCTAAAGAAATACAAAACAAAGTAAAAGTTCAATCAGAATAATTAAACATAGTAGAGACAGACAAGGGTATAGGTTAGATAGCGTTCGAAACACCTTTCATTAGTCTGTTAATGAGAATTTTACTAATCCAATAAACATGAGTGGAGTAAGAGCTAATCGATGAACTTAAGACACTTTTGTTTACCATATTTCAATATAAGTTTGGCTTCAAAAAGGCTTATTCATCCTAAACAAATAAGTATACATCACGTTCACTGAAGCTACCAGTGATTAGATTCCAAATATTAAGTCATCTATTTAATTACTGCGTCACTAACAGAAGTTTGAACGAAGTACTATTGCTAATTCTCATAAAATGAGTATAAATTTTTCTAGATACTGGCTGAACTAGCCGTGGTAACATAAGAATCCACTTCTAAAATTATGTATTTGCATGGGCCTCGCGTCTTCCAAATGCAAAGTGATGCTACAGGACTAATCTGTACCAGCGTTTGAAAGTGGGGAAGGGAAGTCACCAAACGTGTTAACCACTTCACCTATTTAAAAAATCGCACCGACCCCAATGGGCTGATTACTCAGTACACGTGTAGAGGACTCATTTAGTGTTCAACAACTTGCAAAGTCTTAGGTGCCAGCATAATAACAGTCTCGTAAAACAGCGCGCACAGTGTCCCACCTTACAGCTGAAACAAGGACGTTGGAACCAAAAGATACTTCGCCTTGTTGAAATGGCTAAAAATTGCCTGCAATGACGAGAATGTTAACACTAAAAATGTTTTTAATTTTTGAACATCTTTGTTACTTTTCATTGAACCACCTTTCCCCACAATGTTCATGTAGTACTACTGCATTTCTGTTCTCATGTGTGCTTGTCGGTGTGGAAACTCAGACTTATGCACATATCCGAAAAATTCTACACAGGCTTTCCACTAATTTAGTCCTGTGAGATTTCTCAGAATACGACGAAACATTAGGTGGAGTTTTATAGCTATATGATTCCAAATTGACTACGATAATGTGAATGTTATCTTTTTGTATACTTGTTCGGATCCTGAACATCCGTTACTCCTATTACTAAACTCCTCACTAATTTGGTCTTGTCCCGCTATTGCAAAATGTAATGTTAATCCGACGTCCAATGTCACTGCTTATTTCACTATGGATGTGTGCCAGCACACTTCTCGAATGAACAAGTATAAAAGCCAAACTAATAACTGTGTTCTCAGGAACACAACATTTAACTTAGTGTATGTGGGTAGGGGAAGTCTCATCATCGTATCAGGAATTGTTTCAGTACATGTGACGAAAAAAAGGATGAAGTGCATTGCAAACGACAAGCTACTGACGATCAAAGAGTTTTGCCCGGATTCACCAAAGTAAACACCATGGGATTTCTGTGCTGGAATTAATGAAATTACAATAGTCAACCAGTTACAGGAGCTGTGTTTGCTTTTGAAATACTCCACAATTTAAACTAACTACACTATAATCAATGTGGAAACAGAAGAAAATATCTACAAAGATTAAATCCAAATCGCTGTCTACACGAACTATAACTGTTTTAGCCTATTTCGTAACAATAAATTTTCTGTTACTCATATGAAATCGAGTGACTACAGAAGTACCTTTTAGGAAGTATGATTTGTGGGAAATAAATTCCCAGGGACTTGTGTTTAAACTATTATAAGAAGTAACTTCAGGACAGTTCTTATTCATATTAGTTAGATGAATTGAGGTTACATATGTGAAAATAAGCTGCAAACTAGTTTTTTGAGACAATATGCTTAGGAATTAATTACAATGGGGTCATCTAACATCAATGAAACACCTGTTACGGATAGTTTTTATGAAAGCAGTAACAACCAATTTAAGTATTAGCTTACCATCAGTTACACCTCCCAACAATTGACGGATTCTGTCGAAGAAAGCTCCAAAGAAGCTAAACGCAATTAATTTAAGTAGAATATCAACACTACCTTGGAAATGGCAGGACCCCAATATTAATAGATGATTGACCATTAGTTTCACAGCCCACTTTGCAAGCAGTCACCAACTTTACATCCAATTTGTAGGTATCACTACAAGATTGTTCACAAGTAGGCATTTGTGATGACAAATGCATATTTGAGAAAGTACATCCTCTGGAGCAAGCATCCTCTTCAGCTCCCTGTAAACAATTAATTTACGAGTAAACATTCACTATAGAAAACAAACGAAAATGCCAATTGACGTGAGTAAAGACAAATCAGAGGCAAACCAACAAGTAAAGTGAAAGCACCCGAAGCAAAAATAAATTCCGTTGCTGTGTTTTACATTTGCTAATTCATAGCCGCACAAAAATGTCTTAGAAAATATGCAGCCAGACGTAGGCAAATGAACTATGTTGACTAACTATACTACTTAACAGTCCTAACCCTAGCCACAGCGAAGTTATTCAGCTAAATCCATTACTGTCTAGTATCACTTATAAGGAGGAACACTAGCCTACCGAATCGTTTGTAGAATAACTAGCTTGAGTTTTTATCGAGTTTACACAATAAGGCTGAAAAAGTTTTCTCAACAGCTTGCAAAGCTCCTTGTTTTATCTTCCATGGAGTTTTCTGTACATTCTTTAAGTTATTCGCTGTTACAGATAGCACTTCTATTCCGTTTCGAATGGAATGGGGTGATAATACTACCAGCATTTGTTCCCCTCTGGAAGTCACGTGCAGCATGCTTGTTTCTCATGATGATATCTGAATGTCTTCTAAGTCATTGGCAGTGGCATGGACGCATTCGCTTCTTGTCAGCCCTCAGGTTATGAGAAGCTCCGCTAGTCTTCATTTGCACATTTTCCGTGAACACCTGTGTTTAAAGGAGAATCACCTTTAAGTTTCTTTATTAAGTTGTATATGTTGTATCTGCAGTATGCGACACGCGAAACGACCAATTATTTGCTTCTATGTTATTTGGAAGCCAAAATGGCTATTGAGGCATAATGAGAAAGTTAGTAGTACATTACACATGTCGTAAATCTAGCGGCATGTACCTAGCCACGAAAGGCAATGAAACAAATTATGCCTACAAAAGTACTTCGTCGAGATCCATTCTCATGAAATCTATTATGCATACTGCATGCACAATCAACCTTACATACTAGTTCAGTACTAAACTCTAAGTGAAGTCTAAAGCTTATCATATTATCATAGAAAGACTTGCTATTTTTCGCCAAATATATTCAACATGAACAGAAATGATAGCTAACATAACCAAGTCGAATTCATAATTAATCCACTTTGAGTGCAGTCTAGCACAGATAAGAAATGCTCATAACTCACGTCAAATTTCGTTATACATGTTTCTTTGCAATTTTTAGGTGCCGTCAGAAGATCTTCTGCTACGGCGAAAGAGAAGAAGACAGATACCAACAATACCGACCACCCCATCTCTTTGGAAACGAAACTATGCGCTTGATAGTGTCTCTCTACCACTGGTGTAATAAAACAATCTTCAACCTACGGACTTCATGTAACAAATTAAATGCTCTCGATTTTGTGTTTTATTGTGTTCACTTAGAAATTCAGAGTGATTTGATTCCTTAGTTCTTTTTCGATGTAAAGCGAAAACTGTCGACAAGATTAGGAGAGCTTTCTACTTAAGGTGTACGTCATTCCGAATTTCGGATGCACACTGTATTCTTTGTCGTAGTAGTTCATCCAGTAGTAACTAAATTCAACTGGTACCCAGCTACGGGTAAAGGTTATATCACTTCGTGAACAAGAAGCAAAAACTTTGATAGAATCAGTTGTGATTACAGAGTGATCTTTCAAACTGCTTATCTTACATGGAACGAATAAGAAGACAAAATCTCCTCATCTTATCGTACTTTCAGATAAAAAGAGGGTCAGGGGATGATGTTCGGAATTTCGAGAGAATACATGTCTGATCTCCTTTTTCCATTAGTGCCCAGCATGTCAGAGAACCAAAGAAGAGTGCGAAATCAGAAAAAGAACTGTGTCGGCAAGTATGATTACCATCTAATCAGTGTCTGTCCATCCATCCCTGACACAAAGAGTTAAAGTGTACTCCAAGCCAAAAATATGAATTGGAAACTCCGTTGAATTACGCATTTAATCAATCAACTTTCATTCGCAAATAACCTTTCAAATTAAGCGTGGCACGAGACTTCTGATAAAATCAAGGAAATAATAGCCTCGTTCGATAAGGGCTATATAAGGACCATCAAAGTGAACACCTTCTAGTAGTTAAAACTATTTGCCAAATAATTATTCATGTCATTATTGATTACTTGTTGATAAGTAGTATGCTTTAATTGAATTTCCGTTGGATTACTAAAACTCACTTGACTTTACAAACAAAGGATACTTCCAGGAATGACTGGAAAATTGACCATATTGAACTTTTTTATAGTAAAGTCTTAGGAAATGCTCTTCATAGATGTCTTATCGTAAGACTGGAACGTTAATGAAGCTCCATGTTGGTTGGAGATACAAGTATGATCTAATGCATGGCCTCAGAGCCTTTAGTGGTACATATCACCGTACACAGAAGGATGGGAATTACAGTTTTACTAGCCTCGCACCTACAAACAATACAAAACAAAAGGAGAAGGACTTCTCCTAAAAACAGCAAGCAGTACTTGGGGTGACAGAAACCTGCTAGTGACACTGATAATTCTAATGGGTGACATGGATTTCAAACTTGAAGTAGACAATACTGGGAAGGAATTTATCATTGGTCAAAATGTGTTCGGGGAAATTAATCAGGAGGGCAGAATCCTTAATGACTTGGCAATTTGAACTAGAGTTCAGGAGCTCGATGTTATACATAGGGCAACATGCATTACCGCAGACTGGCACAACAAAAATCAGAGAAAAATGTCACCTCACCCTCAAGAAGGTGGAGCGTAGCATGTTCTTCACAAAATTGGGAAGACAGAATATGTGCTTAGACTGTTACCTAATGCAAAGAACGATTAAGTTGAAGTTCTGAGAGGCTAAACATAAACCAAAATCCAAGTTCAAGACTCAGAAATTGTCGAAGTTTCTGCGACACAAATCACAACTGAGAAAACTATTGGATGAATGGAATGAGTTACCAAGTAAAAACTGCTTCTTCTACATGATATACAAGATTTCGACTTTCTATGGATTGGTGAATGCCCCTTTTGTGTGTCTGACTAGGTTTCCGCTCTGCTTGCCCTCTACCATGCTTTGTAAAACAGTAGTTCAAAAACAAGCTCAGTCTTCCACAATGTTAAAGTTATTGGTCTGTAATCTGAGTAATTATCTCTGCAGAAAAGTCAGTTTCTAGATTGACGACCCTGTTTCGTTCATATTCTGCCTTCCATTTAATTATAGTCGACCATAATCCATAAATTTCTGTTTTTGGGTTGTTTTTCGGATTATTTCTGCACGTACGTACTGTTTTGTCTGTCATTTCTATTCATTATAACATCCTGCTAGCCAAATGTAGAAAATGACTTTAAACAATACTTGTTCGGAGGGGTATCCTATAGCAACTAATTAATTTAAATCATCAAAATTAAATCGATACGACCTGGAACTATGGTTTGCTTAAATGGAGCACCACTTCGACCGGTATAGCAATAAACCTGAATCCTCCAGATATAAAGACGTGTGTTCTCAGTTACCTAAGGAGTTTTGCAAGGAGTTGAGGGACCCTATACTTCACCCTCCCTTTCAAACCAACAACAATACCAGGCATTAAATTGCGAGGCGGTGAAGTACCTCTCCATGTCGGAAAACCGGCTTACACAACTTTTTCTTCAAAGGAAGAAAACGGGATATAGATCCCTATCATAGTGCTTGCGCCACCTGCAACAGTTTGTAGGCGGTAGTACAGTGACAGAGGTTGAGTTGCAAGCCCATCTAGAGTAGGTGAAACGGGCACTACATGCTTGACTCCTCTCTTGGATTGTTCGCGTGTGCCGCTAACCGAATATTGAATAGCAGACGACTAAAGAAAGGAAAAATGAACCATGTGAATTTGGTCAAAACCGACTGATCTCAGCTCTAGTGGCTAGCGTTGGATCAATAACACAACAACTGGTGCAAATACCGCTAGACCAGGGCAGACAACGCAGGTCGGCCAAAAGAGCATGTCAAAGTGGTTGAAGAGTGAACGATCAATTCATGGTTGTTTGCTCAAACCCAACTCCACATTTTGGCGGGAGTCATCGATACTGCAGTCATCGTTCTATCGTTCGCTGTTTGTTAGAAGACAGAGAAAAACTATCAGAAGTATTATTGTGATTAATTGTTATAACATTTATCCTTAGACTTTGTGTACAATAACCTTGTGGTTGGTTCTGTATTGGCGCAAGAATATAGGATTCTTGAATCACCAATTTGTGTTCTGGTTTTTCGCGTTGGTTATTGACAATAGTTTCTGAAAGTCTTCTAAGAACAGCGTTAAGTCCAGGGTAGTTAGACCTGGACATTGACAGTTTCTGATAGTTTTTGGAAGTATTCGCTGTATTTGGTGGCAATTCGTCTTTCGTTGCGTCTGCAAGTCTTCTTTGGACAAGTGTTATTTGGAACTTCTCTGGATCGTCTGGTAAAGTTCAATAATGCCTGGGCCAAGGAAAGGACGAAGCACTTTGGAGGCAGACGACAATGTAAGTCTTGATGATTTGTCTAATGTGTGTAATGTTATGTCTGATGTTACGTTGGACAAGCATGATATACCAGCCAGGGAGATAAGTTGCTTGAAGCCACCGAAGTTCGAGCCTAGGTGCTTTGAAGGGAATCCTGCTGACTTTCCTCACTTTGCGAAAGAAATCGAAGTCATGCTTAGGGTCTGAAACCAAGTGATGAAATGAAACTAATGTACTTGTTGAGGTATTGTGCCGGAAGTGCGGCGAGTGCAATACAGTGCTGCAAGTTTCTGCCACCTAGGGAGGGATACACGGAGGCTATGCGTATCCTGCGTCAAAGGTTTGGAAGACCTTCGATGATTGTGAGGAATGTATTCGAGGCTGTTAAGGGTAATGGTAGTCAATTACGAGATGACTCCAAGGCACTCACTGAGTTTTTGGATAATCTGATGACCTACAAGAATACGTTGGTTTCGATGAATTGCATGAGTGATCTGAACTCGAGTTCTGTCCTAGAGGTGATAGCGAGACGCCTACCTACTCGACTGCAAAGGAAATGGGTGAAGATAAGCTCTCGTATAGAGGATGAAGGTTTAGAGCCAAATTTCGATGATATTCTGAAACTGGTGAAAGACAGTGTTAACCAAGCTATGAGCAAGTTCGCCAGTATACTGCATCCCATCCCTGGAATAGAGAAGTCAGAGAGCAAATCGCAGTCATTTATGACGAAAGGGTCTCAGAGAAGTGGATATCGAGAAAGCTATATGGTGTCTAGTAATCCATACAAACTTAATGAATGTGACAGCTTTCGTGGGACGTCCCCAACAGATAGGTTACAAGTTGTGAAACAAACACGGTTGTGTTTTACACGTTTGCAAGAAGTGCATACAAAAGCGAACTGTGAAGCAGTGAGCAAGTTTAGTGGTAAGCTAAATGTGAAATCAGGTTATGACTCCACAAGTTTTCAAGGTATTACTAGTCAGAGTAAAGGTATGAAACCTTTAAGGATTCATGAGGAAGAACCCAAATCATCTACTGCTGTTATTAAAGAGGTTGAAAATGATAAAGTCGACCATATTAACGGCGATGAAGTGAGTATTTGTGATAATGATCATGAAAGTGCACATTTGTCTTTGGCTGATCATGATGAGACGAGCGGAATGCCTACTACTACTGAGTCAGACAAAGGTTCTGTACAACTTGAACGTGAAGTAGAATTAAGGGCAGATGCGGTTGCAGAAGGTATGGATACTCATGAGACCGTCAGTGTAAATGATCAGCGTGTAGCCCAACTATCGACAGATGTTAAAGCTAAACTGGAGCTAATAATAAAAGACAGCAGTGGTGGTAATCTTGCAGTTAGACAGCCTTCTAAAGGTCGAACAGCGATAGCTTCTGATGCACCGTTAAGTTCATCAACTTGTATCAGTCAGTCGTCGTTGGTGTTGTCATCCACAATGAAAGGGATGTCCATGAACCCATGTGTCTTATACTTTGATTATGCTTGTATCGGTCCGTTTGAAAGGACGAAAGTCAATGGCCAGATTAGTGATGATAGTCCAACTGTGTATGAGAGTGTAATTGTAAAACTGACTTGCACGAATAAAGACCTTTCAAGTTTCAAGTTACTATTTGAATGTTATCATCTTTGGTGTAAATTACTCTGTTCCTTCGCTTGGTTGGTCAGATATGTAGTATGTTTGTTAGTCATCTGCATTTCACGATACAATGTCATGGGCGTGTTACCATTCAGAGTTGAGGATATAGATGTTGGAAGGAGGTCAGCAAATGAACTCAACGACGATT